TTTTTTTTTTTTTTTTTTTTTGCAATACTATTTAAAAAATGTTTTTTAGTTAATTTTTATAAATTTTAAAAATTAAATGTAGGTTTAAAAACTGAAAATTCCATGTAAAACAAATACAGTATAATAAATAAATAAATCTCGAGGAAAAAAATTGTTTGTAAAACGGAGAACAAACACTCCATCTGGCTCACTAGAACATATCGTCAAGCGATTTGATTATCGGCCACTATGGCTACATGTTCGAATTTGAGAGAAATTTTTTTTCTTTAGCTAAATGGAATGGAAAATATAACTATATTTGTGGTCTCCTACGCCAACTACACTGCCTCACTTTATATCTATTTCTTATAACTTTATTTATTTACTCGAAGTGTATGTATACACACGTGTGTATTAAAATTGTCATATTATATTTTTTATTTGTTACGATATTTTATATTTTTAGTAAAAATTATATTAAAAAAATATAAATTATGTATTAAAAATTTATTTGAAATTATTTTATTTATTACAATATTTTCTATTTTGAGTAAAAATTATATTAGAAAATACAAATTATGTATTAAAAATTTATTTGAAATTATTTTATTTATTACAATATTTTATATTTTTAGTAAAAATTATATTAGAAAATACAAATCATGTATTGAAAATTTATTTGGAATAAATATTTTAAAAATATATATTAAAATCGAGGAAATTTTCGATTATGAATGGAGAAACTTCGGGAATTGAAGTAAGAAATAGTGACGTGAATAAGAACTTAGAAGGCTTCCTAATCAAAAACTTCCTTCGAAAATAATTCAGAAACAATACATTTACACAAAAAAGTTTCAAATGAAATGAGTTTCTTTAAAAGGAATTCATAAGATATGAATTCCTCAAGATCTCATAACAATAAAGATGTATTTTTCAAAAGAATTCATAAGATATAAGTTTTTAAGATCGAGATGTATTTCAGTAGCCGAACAATCCTCGAACATCTCAATCTCATTCATAGCACACAGAAACAACTCTAGAAACTAAGATCAGCAAGCAACACAATTCAGGCTATCGAAACGCACCAATCGAAGCAGAATTTTCTCAATCAGATCAAAATTAAACCATCCGATTCCAACCAGCAGCAAACATCAAAGCAAAAAGGACATAGAAGGAAACAAAATACCAGCACTGCAATAGCACGGAGGATCGCGCTGCAAGGTCTTGAGCTCCTTCAATGTCCGCTAAGACGCCTTCAGAAAAACCTAGAAAAAACAGCGAAAGATCACTGCGATCAGATCAATCCAGGAGAAATCAAAACAAAATGTTTGCATATATAGATTAAAAAGATTACCTGATGAACAACGATTGAAGAAAATCCCTCGCAGCTAGATTTTTGGCTTCTGGATCTCTAAGCCGTGAGGCTCGTGAAGCAGAGGATAGCGAAAAATAGAAAATGAAAGAAATTTGGTTGAGAAAATAAGAGCATTTATTGTGACCGTTTAGTGTGGGGCCCTCTAAATCGCGCCGCTCATGGTTGGCACAGTTTCTTATTCATGCGTCTGCAGTGGGCCTCATCCTCGGTCTCCGACTCTAAAATGCGTCTATTATAGAGAGGGTTTAACTCTATTTTAACCAGTGTCTCGTACCGTCTAATGACTGGCTCTGATACCATTTGTAACGGCTCAGTCCTGTGCTACTAAATATTATTCATAAGTGTTTTAAAACTGCGAGACTCACTGTAATATATAACCGACCAAAACAGACAACATCTGATAGTTGTGGGCTTTAGGCTGTTTGTAACATTTTATGACCATAGTCACAATAAATGCAACCTAAAAAGTAAATAAAAGTCTTCGTTATGGATAAGCTAATTATGCATGATAACACTCTATGCTATGCTAATATTTAAAGCTCAATTACGAGTCTTTATGATCTAAAGTGCGTAATGGATACGTTCTTTTCGAGCCGAGCAAGAAATTGCATAGCATCAACTCAACAACCTTCTACGTGTAAGTGATGATGGCTCATTTATCTTACGATTTAACAATTACACCCTAGACTCGAGATTCATATAACGACCCACAATTTAGATTCATAGATAGAACTCAGTGATTTTCAACACCTTCTTACCTTAAAAAAACGTGTTACCCAATTTACTCAAACTCAACGATTTCTAACATACAATTGTTCTACGTCAAACTTACTTTTCTTAACGAAAAATCCTAATAAACCAGTCATTTTCTTGGTCAATTTTCTTAGTTCAATAATTGTAAGAGCGAATGATCAAATCATCGATTATTTAAACTAAACTCGACTTAAACGTAATTAACTATGTATTTTGAACATTTGACATAACATTAATTGATAATTACCAAAAATATCTAAACTTGATAGTTTTTACCGTTTATATCATTTAATTCAATTTTGTTGGGTGCAAATGGCCAAACACATTAAAGACAAAAATGTTTGGAAAGAACCGGTCGGTTCAAACCTCAAATTTGGTCGGCGGTAAACATTCCGTAATCCAAATAATAATAAATAAATAAACATTTTATTTATTTATTTATTTATTTATTTATTCCCATATTTATCCCAACAAAAAACCTGCCAATAACATATTCCAACATTTTTTAGTTTTTACATTTCTTATTTGCAATATAGAATAAAATAAATATTTTTATTTTAAATGGAGAGGGGTTGGATTTTAAAATATATTGTCCCATTTAAATTATAAAAATTAGGTTAATTATATTTTTCTAGTCGAACCAATTTGAAAATAGAGTTACCGTTTATTATAAAAATCCAATTTAAATTATAAAAATTAAGTTAATTATATTTTTCTAATCGAATCAATTTGAAAATAGAGTTACAGTTCAACTAATTTTAATATTATCATGAAAATTAAATATTTATAATTTATAATCTTGTGAATATTTGATATTTAAATTTAATGAAATTTTATATTATAGATAAGAGATTTATTAAAATAAATTTTTTTAATATAAGTTTGCTAAATATTTATTATTAAAAGTTATTAAGATTTATTATCAATAAACTCAAATACTTAAAATTAAACATATGGGAATGAAAATTAATTTAAAAATTATTTTAATAGTCTCCCTTAATAAAAATAAAATAGTTAATTAGAATTAATTAGTTAAAATTCAACGAAAATATTTATTTATATAAAATTTTGGTAATATTTCTGCTCTAACACCAAACATAACATTAAATATAGTGATTTGATTCTCGAATTTTTTATTTTATTTTTTATTTTTTCTCAAAATTGCAAAATATTTTAGAGGTAAGAATTTTAACCATTACAAAATTTTGCATAAATAATAATGCATTTTCTCCTGAGTTTTCAAACAAAAGTCTATAAAAAAATTAAAAAATGGTAATAATTATTCGAATAAAAGTAAATATTGTAAAATTGTCCAACTTTAGCTGTGATAAAATTGAAAGGTATAAAGTAAAATTTGACTGAATAAATCGGTAAAAAAGAAGGAAACAAAATGGTAAAAATTGATTCTTTTCCCAATCATAACATCGGATTATAAGAAAAAACAATTTTTCCAAAAAAAAAAAAATCCCATCATTTTGACAAAGAATTCTGTGGCTGACAAAATTTTTTAATAAAATTATCAAAAAAAATTCTAAAATAAATACGCAGACAATAAATTTTTTTATATAAATTGATCTTTTAATATTAAAATAAAATAAAATAAATTTATATTCTTAAAATATACAATTTTTGTAAGTTAAATAAATTAAATCCTAAAATTAATAAATTTTCATTTTAAAATTATTAATTTGTAATTCTCATATTTAAATATAGAAAAATAGAGAAAGAGATACCAATTAATTAGGTTAAAAAAAATATTTTAGATCAATTACGACAAATTTCGTTGGTTGGGTCAGTGACCCGAACAACACCAATAAACTTCTAACTTAACTTAACTCAATCCTCTATTTTTAAGGTGAATTGGGCCGGATTGTTCTTTTATAATTCATTATTTTAAAAAAATCACATTTATCCACCGTACATTTTACAATAATAACTAAAATATCAAATATTTACAAATCACAATACATCACTATCATAGGTTATAAACATTAAATATTCTTAATGTTTTTAAGAGTACAATAAGATCGGCTTGTGACCCTATTTTCGAGTTGACCCACAAAAAAAAAAAAACAATTTGTTTGTAATATATATATATATATATTTGTATTTAAATTTCCACATTTAACATTTGAAATTAAGAGGAATGAAATGTGCATTAGGAACTACAATAAACTATATATTAAAATATATAACATGTGAATATTACAAGTTATTATATTTGCCAAAAATTAAAAAATTAAATAAAAGTTATTCTTATTCCAATCCAACAAATTTCCCATTATTGATGAATATCATCAAATATGAACATTGAAAAAAGGCTGATATTTTAAGACAAGTGCATATGGTCAAAGCATTTAGGAATCCTGCTTATGTTTTCTTGCCCTCAAATTCTTGGTTGCTTCTAACCCATTTTTTCAAACCCTTAAATAATAATATAATTAAATTGCATCTTTAGTCCCTCGACTCTAAAATTTTTACAAATTCAGTCCTTGAATTTTCAAATTTTCGTATTTACCCAGTATAAGCTCCAGATTTTAGGGTTCTATTAAACATAACATTGTAACGTATACCTAATAGACCAATTCAATTTTTTTTAATTTTAATTTGTCGTGAATTTATTAGACAGAAAATTAAAGGTTTAAGGACTTATTAGATATTTTATTACAGCCCAGATCCATCACTAGCCGATATTGTCCTTTTTATCCTAATGGATTTATTAGAAAATTAAAAGTTTAAGGACTTAAGATTTTTTTTTTTTTTTCTAATGGATTTATTAGACAGAAAATTAAAAGTTTAAGGACTTATTCAATATTTTGTAAAAACCGAGACAAAAAATTAAAAGTTTAAAGACTTATTAGATATTTTGTAATAGCCCAGATACACCGCTAGCAGTATTGTCATTTTTAGGCTGCTAGGGGAAGGTTTTCACGTACCCTTATAAATGGTGGTTTGTTCTCTCTCTCGGGCTTTCTTTCAAGGCTTTAAAACGCGTCTACTAGAAGAAGGTTTTCACACCCTTATGAATTGGTGATTTGTTCTCCTCCCCAACCAAGGTGGAACATCATTAAAAAGCATAAATTAGATGGACACGATTAAACTGGAAATTTTAATTCATATAAACATTGGAAAAAAGATGGGTTATTTAAAATATATGTTAATTTAATTTAAGTTTTAAATATAGTTTTCTCTAATGTATTTTTATTAAAAATGATTAATTCTAAATTATCAATTAAGTGATGAGTAAAAGGAAGAAAAAAAAGGGCCGATTCGTTGCTTCGCAACCAATGCGCCACTTTGCACATGAAAAGATGTTCAATTTTCCATTTTTTCTCTTTAAAAAAATTAAATTACGAAATTATCATATATTTACATATTCCAAAATTAGGAAAAAATATCCAATATTATTGTTTTTTTTTTATAATAAAGATTTAATTTTACGAAAATGTCACTTATGTTGATATATGATATCGGACAAATTACCAAAATAATAAATAAATAAATATTTTTCATTTATAATTATATTTTAGTTTTCTTTTATGATATAATGAAAATGTCTACATTTATATAAATACCCATTTGCTTGTAAATAAATAAATAAATAATTGCATTATTAAAATTTTATTAATTTCGTTTATTTAAAAATAATTATTAAAATTGAATACTAAATTCAAAAAATTAAAATAAAATGGTTTAAAGTACTTATAATAAATATTATTTATTTATATAAATTATGGTATTATTGTAATGATATTAGATAAACTCTAAATTTATAACGTTTATTAAAATTATAAAATTTAATTACTGATATTTAAAAATATTTATCAACTTTTAATTTTATATCTAATAAATAAATTATTTGAATTATTTAAAAAATGTTAATCATGATTTAGAATTAAAAAAATTATTAACATATTTAACTGAACTTATAATTAATGAAAAAGATACTTAGCTTAAATAAAATGAAAACTAAATTATATATTATTTTAAAAAATAATAATGGTTTCAAAGAAAAATAATTAAAAGAGAAAAACACGTAGAAAATAATAAATTACTTCAACGACAATTCACGCCCGCTCCCCCCCTATAAATACCCCACCCTCCGCCACTCTTTTCCTCACCCAGGCTTCTTCACTCTCTCTCTCTCTCTGATCTCTTATGGCGAAAGACGACGTGACGGCGCGGGGGTTCTCCGGCAAGGACTACCAGGACCCTCCGCCTGCGCCGCTGATCGACGCGGCGGAGGTAGGGAAGTGGTCCTTTTTCAGAGCCCTGATTGCTGAGTTTGTCGCCACTCTCCTGTTTCTGTATATCACTATCTTGATTATTATTGGCCATAGTAGCCAGTCTGACCCTCACCAACTTGGCGGCAACGCTTGCGGCGGCGTTGGCATCCTCGGTATCGCTTGGGGCTTCGGCGGCATGATCTTCATCCTCGTCTACTGCACCGCCGGCATTTCAGGTTCCTAAATTGTTAATTATGCTCTAATCATTAAACATGTCTATTTAATCTACGTCAAAGTTAACACCGAATAATACATATCCATTTCAACGACAACAAGAGAGCGAGCCGAGAAAAATTATATCAATATTCCTCATAATGGGTGGAAACCTCTCCCTAATAGATGCGTTTTAAAATTGTGAGACTTGACAACAATACGTAACGGATAAAAACAGATAATATTTGGTAGCAGTAGACTTGAACTGTTACAAATGGTATTAGAATCAGTAGCCAGCGAGGACGTTGGGTCCCCAAGGGGGTTGATTGTGAGGTTTCACATCAGTTGAACAAGAGAACAAAACATTTCTTATAAAAGTGTGGAAACCTCTCCCTAATAGATGAGATCCCACCTCGGTTTGAGAAGGGAACGAAGTATTTCGATATGAAAATCTCTCATTAGATGCGTTTTAAAATCGTGAGGCTGATGGCGATATGTAATGAGTCAAAGCATATGGAGCTTTCACTATTATATAATTAATTAATTAATATTTTGTTTAAAGGAAGAGGAGATTATATTATAAATTTTTAAAAATTTTGTTCTAACACTATATTATATTTTTTTCATAGAAAATATTTATTGATTTATTAAGCTGTTTTATTTTAATTTTAAAGAATTTATATTAGAAAACTGAAATTATTCATTAAAAAATTCGAAAACTTTATTATTATTATTATTTATTTTTGGATGAAATGAACGGCAGGCGGGCACATAAACCCGGCGGTGACATTCGGGCTATTCTTAGCCCGAAAGGTGTCGCTGGTTCGAGCAGTGGCGTACATGATAGCTCAGTGCTTGGGAGCCATATGCGGAACGGGGCTGGTGAAAGCCTTACAAAGGGACTACTTCAACAGGTACGGCGGCGGTGCGAACCAGCTCGCCCACGGCTACAGCAAGGGCGCCGGCTTGGGGGCCGAAATCATCGGTACCTTCATCTTGGTCTACACCGTCTTCTCCGCCACCGACGCCAAGAGAAACGCCAGAGACTCCCACGTTCCTGTACGGTCTCCCTCCCCTCCATTTCCTTAAATTGCTGTTTAGTCCCTCCAACTTTTATATTATTAAAAATTTTGAGAATTTTAAGATATTATGACGTCATAATATTCTTTACCCATATAAAAAAATTGCCTTTTTTCTTCATTTTTTTTTTACTTATTCTCTTTTAAAGTTCAAAGGTTTAAAATTTCTATATTTAATATAATCCTTAATCCCTTGGGTTTCGTGTAAGAATCTCCCACTACCCTCCAAAAAAATCTCGCCCACGTGGCTGCCACGTCATAACGCCAGCTTTGCTTCTCTTAATATTGAGTTTTTTTTTTTTTTTTTGAAAGATATTGGCTCCGCTCTCGATTGGGTTCGCCGTGTTCATGGTTCACTTAGCCACCATTCCCATTACCGGCACCAGCATCAACCCGGCTAGAAGCTTCGGCCCCGCTGTCATCTTGAACCGGGAAAAACCTTGGGATGATCATGTTAGTATCTCTTACTTACAGCTTTATCTCGACTTATCTTCTAGTTGGTTGAGTTGGTGATCCGAACAACTTAAATAAAGTTTACAATTCAACCCTATATTTTCTTTTTAGGTTGAATCAGATGGTTTGGTTATTCTGTTATTAAAATTATTTTTAAAAAATTTATACAATACATGATACATTAATAATTAAAATCTCATAAAAATGAATTATCACACCTTCACAAATGTCAACTCAGGTAAGGTTGAATTGAATTGTAATCTTATTTTCAGATTGGTTAGGTTGACCGATTAAAAAAATGTCAACTTAGGTCAACTCGTGAACTAACCTAAAATTTTTTAGTTTTACTAAAATTTAACCTAGCCCAAACTGAGAAAAATCTAACCCAACTGAACCTTTACGATTTAGGTTGAGTAATTCGAGTTGGTTGGGTTCTCGTGTATGCTAAATATCATTACTTGTTTTAACTATAACGTTAATGTTAATGGGCCGGGTCGGGTTGTTTTTTTGTTTTTTTGCAGTGGATGTTCTGGGTTGGGCCTTTCATCGGAGCCGCCATTGCAGCGCTCTACCACCAGTTCGTTTTGCGGGCCGGCGCGGGTAGGAGCCACCCGTCCGTTTGATCCCATTTCTAAAGCCGAAAGTCAGCATTTTCACATTTTAATTGGAGCCGTTTGTTCAAAAATGATTTATTTTTATTTTACCTTTTAATTTATCTTATTCGTGTCATTGTATTTTATCCATTTGGCTTATTAATGATATATATATTTTTTAATTTGTTTGCATAATTACTAATAATAATTTAAATATAAATTATAATTTATTGCATTATTTTGACTAATTAAAATTTGGAACAAGCAGCAAATAATAGATTTTTTTGAAGGTTAGTTTTATACTTTATAACTATTATTAATAATTTAAGGCGACTTTTAAATTATCTTTAATTTAAAATCTCGACTATAGGTTAAATTACAAATTAGCCTTTATAGTTCGAATAATATTAAAATTTAGTTTAAAAAAAATTAAAGATATTAATAAAAATTTAAAATATTAACAAAATATTTTTTTAATATAAAGTATAAAGTTTAGAAATATTAGTTTTTATTTTTTTTTACGGTGTTTTTTTTCTGCTTTCCCTCCCCACCTTCCTTCTCTGTTAAAGCCCCGTCGGTTCCGCGACTTTTCTTATTTCCTCCCTCCCAGCGCCGGCGATTCTCCACATCGTTCTTCATCTAACTCGAGAGGCAAAGATGCATCTGTGGCCATCGACGAGGATCAGAGACTCTTTCAAGAGTGCTTATATCCAAAAGCTGGAATGGAACATCCACAGAATGAAAATCCAGAAGCACCAGCAGCAGCAATCTTCGAGCAAACAGAACTTGTTGGATAAACAACAATCTTCTGATGCCGATGGCGAAACTTCAGGGAAATCCAGTTCAGTTTCCTTTGGTCATCGAGTTCTTGAATTCTGCTCTGAAGTTCTCCTGCTTCTCTCCTGTTGTTATTGTTGCTATTGCTGTGGAGGTGATTAATTCTTCTTTTCCCCTTTTTGAACTGTCTAGCTTTCTAATGAGGTTTTTCTGGAATTGAAGTTCGTAAATGCTGTACGATCATTTTCTGAAAGTCGTTCTTGCATAATTTTTCGGATTAGGTTTAATTTTAACTGCAGAAAGGACTATAATAGCTTCAATAGTTTGGGCTGAGGGTTGTGGTTGCGTTTGGTTGTTGTTATGATTATATTGGAAAAAATAAGTTTGATATAATTGTAGGATTAAGTTTTTGAGTTCAACAGTGATCTAATTTTAGAGTTCACTTTTTCTTTTGGCTCTGTGCTGATTTTAGAATCAGAAAAGTATTACGAATATCGTGACCTTTTAGCTTAACTTTTAGGGTTAAACGATGACCATATTTTCTCTCCCAGGCTTTCTTTAAGCTTGGACTAGGCTTGAAAGTGATACAGTTCTTAAAATTTCTTAAATCTTTTTAAGAGGAGTTTTGCAGTTTTGTGGCTGATAGGAGAGGTTCTTTGAATAGTTTCCTGTTTGAAATGGTATTTCTAGGGACGTGGAAGCTTTGAGTGCTTCAATGGATTTGTTCTAGATGGAGCTGATACTCAAAATTTGCACCAAAACAATTTTCTTTTTCTCCACGAAAACTCGGTTTCTTACCAAAAGAAACAAACAGCAAGCCTGCTTATACTTTCCTGTCAAAAGAAAAAACCTGCTGAAAGTATTTTTGCGTTGCAATTGTTATCTAGTTCTAAAAAGCAGAAAAGATGAAGAGTTTGGGATTTTGTTCATTTGGCGAACTTCAATCGAATTAATGTTCGATACTGTGAACAGTTTTTTTAGTTAGTAATGTTGCCGTTGATTCGATTAATTGCAAAAGATGAGGGTGAACAGATCGCAGCTAGATATTTTGAATGATCATTGCTAAACTTATCTTGGGATCTAACAACTTAAAGCCAATACACCATAGGTTCAAACTAAATTATTATTAGTTAGTTTGAAGTTTTAACACAGTTTTCTACTCTGACACTGTTTTCAATTATTGTTAGACCCAAAAACTGTAGTTAATTGTCTTATCATACGGTCACTGCATGATATTTAAAGATGCTTTTCTCTGTTATAGTTGAGAATGTTTCTTGCCCATGTTCATCTGAGATAAGACTCCCCACTCACACACAATTTTTGTAGTAATTCCAAATTTGTTAGGCTTGGCAAGTTGGCTACTGTCTGCCCCGTTACATTTATCTTCTATTACGAGGATGTGATGGTTAAATTATAAGTTTAGTTTTTAAACTTAAAAATGATTTAATAGATTCTTCAACGGTCAATTTTGTGTTTAATATGTCATTTACCTACAAGAAATACATCAAGAACTCGTTAGACACAAAAAGTAAGGTTCAAGCTGTTGAGGATTATTGGGAGTGAGTCCCACATTGGTTAATTTAGTGGAAGATCATGGGTTTATAAGTGAAGAATACTACCTCCATTGGTATAAGGCCTTTTGGAGAAGCTCAAAGCAAAGTTACGAGAGCTTAGGCTCAAAGTGGACAATATTATACCATTATGGAGAGTCGTGTTCATCTAACATAGTATCAGAGCTAACAACTAGTATCGATCCATCCTAACACACAAGCAAATTGTTTTGACCAAATTTGATTCATGAAGAATAGAAAATTCATAGTGAAAGTGTGTGTAAATAGAGACTGAATTACAAACATCTGATACAAGCACCATGTTCTTGCAGCTTGCCTCTCCGAAGAAGAAGAAAATTGATGCTGAAGTTAAGGATAGATGCTTGGAATTGATAAAGGCAACTAATTGATGCAGATGATATTTTCAGTATCTGTACTGGAGCCTCGTCATGAACAGGTAATATCGATGATCATTGGCATATATTGATCTCTTTGTACAGTCAACTTGGATTTGGATGCTGGACAGTTTGATATGTGGATTTGTTTATTTTAGGCTACACATTTGTAAGTACCAACACTATTTATTGACTTTTTCGGACCATACCCAAACTTAGATTTTTATTACCTGTTCACTTTTACCATCGAAAACACACTTTAGTAATTTATAGTCTTAGATTTCAAGAACACATAAGAGTGAGCTGACCCTACCTCCTTTTTTAGTGGAGTTGTATGAGGTGGAAGCTCCATGTACGGTTTTGAAGTCGAGCCTTTCCAACAATAGGGTTTAGGGATTGATATGATGATTGGTTTAGGTAGAGCAATCGACCTACTACGGACACATGAAAGGATTAGTGGGTGAAACCGTGATCCACAAACTTAGGCATGAGACTCACCCTTTACTTGAGAATGAAGAGGAAAAACATAGCATGTCATGAAAGTGAGGTGAGGTTTGGAACCCTTTTGCAGAAGGAACGCCTCGCTAGACAGGCTTCTAGAGTGATTAGGCCTTTTGGCATAGCCAAGTCAATTTGCTCGCCAGAGCCATGCTTGGTAGAGCCATTGTGTGGAGGCGAAGTAGATGTACGGGTAGTCCTGCACAAGGTTAGAGGAAATAATATCTTTCTTCTTTCTTCCTTTATTTCCCATGACGACTAAGAATAAGTAAATCACAGACTTTACTTCGAATTTTAGACCTCAATATCAAGTCACAAAACCTTGATGAGAATGCCCAATGTGTAGAGAGCGAGTCCCACATTGGCCAATTTAGGGAATGATCGTGGGTTTATAAGTAAAGAATACATCTCTATTGGTACGAGTACGAGGCCTTTTGGAGAAGCCCAAAGTAAAGCCATGAGAGCTTAGGCTGAAAATGGACAAATATCATGTGATTGTGGAGAGTGATTCTTAACACAATGGAGGTAAAGAGCCTCGTGACATTTGGTACTATTTGTTATATCTTGGTTTATTATTATTTATTTTTGGGATAAGATTTTGAAAAGATCAATAGAAAAGTATAAAAATAAAAAGACTGCAAAACAAAATTGTCTGATAGAAAAACAAAATAACAGCCATTATCAATTGGGCCATTCAAGTTACCATGCATAGACCTTCGGCCAATTATCCTTAAACGAATATTATAATAAATTATATATTTTTAACATTCATGCATTTTAATTCTATCTAGCACCATTGAAAATGTTAGTTCTAGTCCATTTTAAAGAGCGAGTACTTTAGTCTATGTTTGAATTTTTTTTAACATAAAGTCTACTAATGAAACGACTTGCTAAATAAAAAAAAAATGCTATTTTAAAAGACTAAAGTGAAAGTTCTACAATTACATGAACAAATAAGCCATCAAATCAAATATCGATAGTACATGATTGCGAGTGAAGTATTAATATATTATAAACCACCTATTAATTTAATGGAATACCATTATTTACCAAACTCTTAGGCTCATTTATGGTACGAAGGGAAGGGGAGAGGTAGATGTAATAGTAAGCATAAGTAATTACTAACAATTATCTTCAACAAAAAAAAAAGAAAAAAAAAGAAAATATATATAGTCATAAATATCTTTCACTCAAAGCATCACTAACCATTAGTGTGATTTTCACTAATTATTTATGTATTTTTTTTAAAGCAACACGATTGGGTGTGTCATAAAAATCATGCCAAAACTACTTCAATTATATTTATAAATTTTTAAAAATTTCAATAAAAAAAATTATGGAAACTACTTCATTTAAAAAGTTGTCATTTTTGGGTTTGCCCATTTTAAACTTTTTCTACGGTTAGTCAGGGAGAGATTTCCACACATGTATAAAAAAATATTTCATTATTCTCTCCGACTGATATGGTTCTAAAAAAAAATAATAATCATATTATTTTTTTTTTAAATGGGGTAGATAATTTTTACACGTTAATTTAAATTTAAAGGTGATATTTAAGATTTTTAAAAAGAGTAAATACTGTTAAAATTTTAAAAATATCTTTGTTGGTAAATTTAAAAAATTTAAAAGTGTTTTTTTTATAAATAAAATATAAAATGTAAAAATATTTTTTTAATGGACAAAATAATAATAATAATAATAAAAAAGGAGGAAGCCCCAACCAGCTTCCATATCCTCCATAACTACCGAAATCACATCTCTTTCACTCCCCATTCTTCTTCACCTTCCCTCACGCAGAAACCCTAATCTTTACTCTGTTCAAAACCTCCGACACTCAAATGCTTCACCCTGTGGAAGACGCCGACGAGCGGAGCCCCTTCGGCTCTCTCTCTGCCGACGACTTCTACGCTCGCCATTCCGTCACTCACGGCTCCGAGTTCATCACCAATTCCAGAGGCCTTAAGCTATTCACTCAGTGGTGGATGCCTCTCCCTCCGATTAAGCCTATTGGAATTATCGCCATCGTCCATGGCTTCACCGGCGAATCTAGCTGGTTCATTCAACTCACTGCCGTACACTTCACTAAGGCTGGATTTATTACCTGTGCCATCGATCATCAAGGTCATGGATTCTCCGAAGGCCTTCAGTACCACATACCGGATATTAACCCTGTCGTCGACGACTGTATTTCGTTTTTCGACTCGTTTCGTGACCGTCACGCGCCGTCGTTGCCTTCCTTCCTCTACGCCGAGTCGCTCGGCGGTGCGATTGCGCTTCTCATCACGCTTCGTCGGACAAACGGCTCGCGTCCGTGGAACGGCGTGGTTCTCAACGGCGCGATGTGCGGAATCAGCGCCAAGTTCAAACCGCCATGGCCACTGGAGCATTTTCTATCACTAGCCGCTGCTCTGATCCCGACTTGGCGAGTGATTCCCACGCGCGGATCTATACCGGAGGTATCCTTTAAAGTCGACTGGAAGCGGAAGCTTGCGGTGGCGAGTCCTCGGCGCGTGGTTGCTCGTCCACGCGCAGCGACGGCGCAGGAGCTCATGAGAGTTTGTAGAGAGTTGCAGGAGAGGTTCGACGAGGTGGAGGTTCCGCTTCTGATAGCACACGGCGGCGACGATGTGATCTGCGATCCGGCGTGCGTGGAGGAGCTTTACCGACGGGCCGCCAGTAAAGACAAGACGCTGAAAATATATCCAGGTATGTGGCACCAGTTGATTGGAGAGACTAAAGAGGATGTGGAGCTTGTTTTTGGGGATATGGTTAAGTGGCTTCAAATTAGAGCCGGCGGAGGTGGTTCTACGACGGCGGCCGGAGAAGAGTGACCCGCCGCCGAGGCTGAATCTCTTCTCTGATTTAAATAAATGTTAGGTATGGAAAAGTAAGATTCTCGTGAAATTAGTTAAAATAAAATTATAATTTCTAATCATCGTCGTCGTCGTCCACCTCCCTGTTTCCCAAATCTTCCGTTTTCCTGATACGAAGCATCAGCTCTGTTATTGCTTTTATGTATCATCCTCTGTCTCTTTTTCTGTAACAAGGAATTTCAGGGGTTCAATTAATCAGCCAATTTGTTGACACATTTCGAGGTATGATTTCGAAATTGAACCAATATTGTTAGGCGGATGCTCATTTCTCTGATAATGGCGTGATCTTTGATGGCAATTTGCTTTGCTTTCATTTGGGCTTATAAAGCTACGCTCATGTCCTAAATTAGCTAACGGGGACTCTCCTCAAACAAAAAATACCATAAAGCTAGGCTTGACTCTTTTTTTTGGAGCTTCGAATAAAGTATACCCTTTATTTGATACATAGTCAACCTTTAGCTAATTTAAAGTCAGGACTCTAATACCATATTAGAAATCAAGACTCTCTACCATGGTACAACCTTTGTTTGATACTTAGTCACCTTTGGCTAACTTAGAGTCATGACTCTAATATCATGTTAAGAATTAACACTCTCTACCATGGTACAATATTGTCTACTTTCAGTCTCTCATGATTTTGTTTGGGCTTCCCAAAAAATCTCGTACCAACGAAGATGTCTTTTTTGGAAAATGGACGTAGGACCAATCTGTTGGTTGAGGTATGAGAATTTTTGAATTGTTGTTTGGTTGTGACGATTAGAAGGTTTGGATACCGAAGCAGGGGCTCTTCAAGTTGGAAGTGTTAGAACTCATGACTCTCCATGATGGTATGATATTGTTCACTTTGAGCATAAGCTCTCGTGGCTTTGCTTTGGAGATAGTATTCTTCGCTAATAAACTTATGATCTTCCACTAAACTAAGCAACGTGGCGCGTGGAGATGAAGATGAATCTTTATTCTGAGTATCGATATCGGGGTGGATCGAGATCATTCTCTGTAAATTTGAAGGTTAGGAATTGGAAATGAAAGCAGACCAAAGTAGTAGTGGATTGGAATTATTGGCATGGTTTAGCCCATTTAACTAACCGGGCTTGGTTTAGCCCATTTAACTTTATTATATAAAATATTATGGCCCAATCTTAATTGTTAAAACGACAAAAACGCCGCCGTTTGAGCATTTGTGTCCACCTGAGATGAATTTACCATTTTGTCCTCGGTAAAAATTGATAGTTGGTGGTATGGTATGGAATATGGTATGGGTGGGTCCCAGTTGGTTACGTGGAATATGGTGGGTCCCAGTTGGTTAACCATTTTACTACATTCTTGGTTGTGGGAAATTGGACACAACTTGCATTTTAGCCCCTAACTTCATTCTTATTTACCATTGATTTTAAAAGTGGGTACGTTTTGTGTTCTCTTTCTTGTAGATTCGTTTTAAAATCGTAAGGTGGATTGCAATTCATAACAAGCTTGGACTATTACAAATAATATCAAGTCAAACACCGAGTGATGTGTCAGCAAGTACACTCAGCCTCTCTGGTGTGAGATCCCACATTGGTTGGAGAGTGATATCATGAAAAGGTGGTACAATTCTCATATACACAAATAGACGATTTACTCCGGGACCTAACATATAACAAAAAATTAATTTTCACGCCCACAAATAAGTAATTACTATAATTTCTATGCACACCAATAGGTAAGTGTCTCACGTTCACATAATTTCACTGCACAGATAGGTAAATACTACGATTCCCGCACACAAAGACAATCAACTCTAGTTAACATGCATACAAAAGGTCTCACGCAATCAAAATTCTTCTGTACATTGCAAGCACATGTCAGCTAAGTTTGATCCATGGACCAAACCACACAAATAAACTCTTTCTAGTTATACATCAAAACAACAGTAATTGAAAATTTAAGCAGCTGAAAGAGTTTAGATCAAAACAATCAAATAAAACTCACTTACGTATGCTAAAAAAAAAGAAAAGAAAAGAAAAAAAAAAGAATTGTGTAAATGAATGAGTTCTGTTGTTCTATATTACAAGACATCTTTGACATATATTTTAAAATAAAAATTAAAGAGAAAAAAAACTATGGGATTTTGGAAGGCTATGATGTTGTGAGGTAGAAGGAAGAAGTTCTAAGAAAATTCCATAACAGCTGTAGAGGGAGCATGTGTTTTCAATATCATTTCTTCATATTCTTCAATAGGATCTGAGAGGGCAATAATAGCTCCTCCAGCTCCAATGGAAGCTTCGTCTTGATGCAAGACAACTGTTCTTATCACTATATTCAGATCAAATGTTTGGTTGTAGGAGATATAACCCATGCAACCCGAATAAATACCTCGAGGACAATTCTCGATGGAGTCGAGGAGCTCCATAGACCTCAACTTCGGTGCACCAGTCATTGAACCACCAGGAAATGCTGCTTCTATACACTCAATGGCACTTACATTTGGCTTTTTCTTGCCTCGAATCGTGCTCACCATAGTATGGACAGTTGCATATGATTCTACGTCCATGAGAAGTGGAACATGAACCGAACCCGGTTCACACACACGACCGAGGTCGTTCCTTAGAAGATCAACAATCATTAAGTTCTCAGCTTGGTTCTTTTCACTATGTTCAGAAAAAGCAAGTGTTAATTTACAAAAAAGCTAAGATCATTATATTACTTTGGCTTCTGAGGTATCTCGTAAGACTTGAGTTTTTTTGTACCAGATTTCTCAAGACTGAATTACAGTCAAATAAAAGGAGTATAAGGCAATTGAAAGGTACCCGTAATTTCTAAAAGTGAGAGAAAATGACGTTCATGTACAAGGAATGAAAGCCACCAAGTATTTGTTAATAGCATAGAACATATTTCGAGGGAAATAAACTAAGATCGATTAAAATTTTATCTCATCAGATTTAGATGCATCCAACCAAAGGAGATGAAGAATTGATTCACTAACCAAGGCATCAATCATGCAATATAAACTTTAAGGCAGATGTGAAGCAAATGTTGTTAAAATTATCACAAGATGTTGAAATTCATGTCATGTTAAAGAAGAATCAAGTTTCATTTATTCTTGTATGGTTACTAATTTTGGGTGGATGATAATTTAGAGTTATTGTGTTTTTTTAATGTATTTTAAGACTTTTGTTTACTTTAAGGTTACGATAGTAGCTAATTATGATCATAAAATATGAATGTTACGACTCTTGAAAGCCTATGGAAGGTCAAGGGTTTCATTTTGAGTCTATATAAGCCAAGTATGTTTTGTAAAGATACTTGAAAAATGTAGTAAAAAGAGTATTTGTGCTTTCCTTTAGCCAAGAGCGAAGTTTCTTTACAATTCTATGTAATTTTAGGCTGTACGTTTAGAATTATACAAGTTTGACATGATCGATCTTTCTTGTGGGGTGATTCAAATCTCAAACAAGTGTTCCTATTTTAAGATATTCGATTAACAAGGTAATCCGAATCTTACTTTCCCTTTGGCTGATTCCTTATTAGAAAGCTCCTATTGTATTTAACTTACTAGCATGGTTTTTCAGCACTAAATTTGAAGAACGTACCTATACTGTAACTGCATTTTGAGTTGTTCATCTTCCTCTGTTGTCACTCCTCGCTTTGCAGTACCTTTGATGGGTTTCGCTTCCAAAACACCATCCCTATTCAACTGTAGGAACCGTTCTGGTGATGAACAGCAGATGCATATACCTACTTTCGAGAAATTTAGCCAAGCTGCATAAGGTGCCGGATTTTTTTCTCTGAGCCTGAGGTAAAGTCTCAGGGCATCAATTTCCCCAATTTGTTTTCTAATTTGGGTTGTGAGGCACAACTCGTAGCTCTCGCCATCTTTGATGTATTGCTTACACTTTTCAACATCACTTATATATCCCTCTTTTGATTTCTCGGCAACAAAGTCCACCTTACACGGTGTAAATGAATCGTGGAGTAAGCATTCTTCAATTAACTTCTCTGGCACGGAAGTTTTCAATTCCATAAGCTTAAGCTCGGTCTCATCCAACCATGATGTTGAAGTATTACACTCTTCATGTATGGATAACAAGTAAACATCATCCGAAGAGTGATCAACGACCAAAAGATTGTCAGCGAAAAAAAAACATGCATCTGGAGTCCTAGACTTGTGTTGGTTGTACGCTGCACCACATTCTACTTTGAGTTCATATCTACAGAATATAGAGCGTTTATGTTAGCATCAATGAAAAAATGTTATCTTTTAATTAGTATTGGGGAAGATTTAACGTTTATGTAACTGTTTCATAATTTTATTTCAGAAGATGCAGAATTTTTTATTCACCGTTCATATAAACTCCAGCATCTAGAATAACAAGCTATGAGTGAGACATCTGAAAGCATATCAAAATGCATAAACCCATGCATAAAGTTATCTAGCACCCACTACATACTCTAACTCTTATGGCTTGCCTGTAAGAAAATTTTGGAGTTTTAGAACTACAGTTAGATGGTTTCAAAATTTTCAAATTATAGTCGAATTGAAATCATTATTCAGAAGCCTAAATTTTTTCAGAAAGAAACTTCTAATCTGATATACTAGGAAATAGCTTCAAAAAATCAGGTACACAGACATGCTTTCATTAAATTTTGTTATTGAAACAAAAAAATGGTTTAAAAAAAGAACTTCCAAATGCTTTTTCAGGGAAAAAAAATCCAAATAGCCCTTTAATTGCTCGGTGATATTTTACGGCAATTTTCAGAGGGTGTCAGGGATCTATTTCTTTGATCAAGAGAAAAACCATTGACCAGTAAACCAAGAAAGGGCTCGGTTAAAATAGGGATAACCGAGCTGTGAACAGCAAGGACAAGCTGACCTTTTTTAATGGTTTTTTCCTCAGGGGATCGACCTAGCCTTCAATTTACCAATAGTCCTTATTGCTTCCTCATTCACAAATTATCCCAATACTACACCCAAAAATCAGAATATAACCAAAGCATGAATAATTAAACCATGAGGGTAAACCTCCCTTATATAGTGAAAGGACCAAAAAGTCAACCTCACAGTACAACTTTGCTGAATTGTGAAGAAGCTGAAACTACCATAATTGTAACATGGCAAGTGAGTGCGAAATAATTTAACATTGTTATACTGATAGTAGTCACTTACCCAAAATAGCCAACATATCCACCATGAAAGTCAAATGGAAGCCCTTCATAGTCTTTCCTTTCGTATTGCAAAGATGAAAGGTCCTATAAAAATCAAGGATTGAAATACTTGTTTTAGCAATAGCCATCGATTGA